GCAGGGTGACATCTCTTGCTGACCTCTCATCACTTGTTTCCCAGAGAACCTATAAGCCTATTAAAATTGTATGGTTTTTAAAAGCCATTGGTGATAAAAAAAAAATACACTGAAGAGATTTAGAGCATAAACTTAAGCGGTGGAGAGAAACAAGATAAGGCAAAGTCCTAGTGGAAAAATGGGATTCTTTAGATAACCGGACACCAAAATACATTTTGATCAAATTTATAGATAAGAAAACGGTTTATGTGAAATCAAATTTCGGGTGGGGAAAAACAAACCAAACATGTTTCAACCATAGAGACACAACATACAACTGAAAAACTGAATAGAATGTTATAACTATGACGTCAATGGACATACTATCGTAGGTAACTATAAAGTAAAAGGGACAAAATTTTGTAACTATATGGTCAATGGAAAAAAATTCTAAGACACTAAAACAGAAAAAAAAAATATTTTTAAGTCTTACTTCGTAGTCCAACGATTAAGTTGGCCAAATGCCTTGCCTGGGGTTCAATGAATAAGGTGTCACTTTATCGACTAGGTATGTTTTACAACAGGTCACACCTGTCAATCATCCTCACAACGTCCAATTGAAATGTCGCCTGATGGTTGGAACATGCAGCATTGACGAAAAAAAATTATAGATACTTGGCCAAACAAATCTTGTTGATATATCATAAAATGACTGGGTTATATGAATATAACATGGCTGTATTATACGAATATAACATTACAGCTTTTTATGAATATTACATTGTTGAATTGTATTAATATAACATGACTGGATTGTATGAATATAACATGACTGGATTGTATGAACATAACATGACAGGATTGTATGAATATAACATGACCGGATTGTATGAATATAACATTACTGGATTATATGAATATAACATGGCTGCATTATATGAATATAACATGGCTGGATTGTATGAATATAACATACTGGATTATATGAATAAAACATGGCTGAATTATATGAATATAACATGATTGGATTGTATTAATATAACATGACTGGAATGTATCGATATAACACGACCGTATTGTTTTAATATAACTTGACTGAATTGTACGCTTTAGCCTCCCTAAAGGTACCTTTACCATTAATAAGGGTTTCACCTGCGTCAGCCAAAATTTAATATATGCGATTGTATGCCGTAGATGCCAATGTAGTTACATAGGTGAAACTGGGATTGGCTAATAGATTTACTGAACATCTTCGGTATATTGAACAAGGTAAACTTTCCCCAGTCTCTTCCCATTTCAACTGAGATGAACATAAAGGTGCATTAAATGTAACCATTACGGCACTGATTTCATGCACTAACACACCAGAGAGGGTTATAATGGAACATAAATTTATTCATCTGTTTGGCACCATATCTCAAAATGGTATTAATCAAATACTATTGTACTAATGTGTCTCTGTTTCCCTGTATTTCTAATTTTTTTCTTGTTGCTTTTTGTTTATGCATCCCTGGATAGTCTGGTCCATTATTATTGTGTACCATATTTTTTACAGTGTCAATATTTATATTCTCTCACTTGCTGTAATCCTACTAGCGGCAAAAACAAGGGATACTTCTTGTGTTGTTTATTGTACTCTGTTCCTTGTGATACTTTCATTTGTCTTGTGTGCTTAGGAGTCCTCTATGCCGAAATGTTCCAATCTTATTGTCATGTCCCATTATTCAAGCTTCAACATACCTCGTTTTTGCTATTTCATTTACTTAGCTTGAATGCAGTCCTTTAATGATTATATTTTGGACATAGGATACCTGGATTTCTGAATATAACTTGACTGGATTGTATCCATATAACACAACTAGATTATTTTAATATAGCATGACTGGATTGTTTAAATGTAACATTACTGGATTTTTTAAAATATAACATGACTGGATTGTTTCAATTGAAATGACTGGATTGATTTAATATAACATGACTTGGATTGTTTTAATATAACATGGCTGGATTATATGAATATAACATGGCTGGATGATATGAATGTAACATGGCTGTATTGTTTTAATTTAACACGACTGTATTGTTTCAATATTACATGACTGGATTGTTTCAATATTACATGACTGGATTTTTTCAATATTACATGACTGGATTGTTTCAATATTACATGACTGGATTTTTTAAAATATAATACGACTCAATTGTTTCAAAGCAACAAGACAAAAAGAGAGCAGCGATAAACACGAGTTTAATTCTCCTGCTACGTCATTTTAATCAAACGATCCAACTTTTTATAAGCCATTGTTCTGAAAATGAGAAATGAATTATCAAAAAAAATTTGCCCAATGTTTTTTCTTTTGTTTTTATATTATAATTGGTCACGCAGTTCAATTAATTTATTACCTGATTAAGTGTAAACAAATCGTACAAGAATGTGGAATTACTACCACATATGAGATTTTAGTATGGATCCAACAGAATTAATTTTGAAATTAAGTACAATATAAGACTTGTAATGGGGCCATCTTTGCAAGTCTAAAATGATGGCACCATGATGGCAAGTCTAAAATAATGGCACATTGATGGTAAGTCTAAAATAATGGCACCATGATGACAAGTCTAAAATAATGGCACATTGATGGCAAGTCTAAAATAATGGCACATTGATGGCAAGTCTAAAATAATGGCACATTGATGGCAAGTCTAAAATAATGGCACCATGCTGGCAAGTCTAAAATAATGGCACATTGATGGCAAGTCTAAAATAATGGCATCATGATGGCAAGTCTAAAATAATGGCATCATGATGGCAAGTCTAAAATAATGGCACCATGATGGCAAGTCTAAAATAATGGCACATTGATGGCAAGTCTAAAATAATGGCACCGTGCTGGCGATTATAAAATGATGGCACCGCGATGAAAGTCTAAAATAATCGCACTGTGATAGAAAGTCTAAAATGCTTTCGAATCTGTTCACACGAGGCTTTGGAGGATTTCAACTGTATCTCTAAAAGTTTTTTGTAGGGCGGCTTATTTATACGTTGAAAAGAAACTAATAGTGATCCTAAGTCTCGTTATACCCTAGACCAGTGGTTCCCAAACGTTTAAGTTTGGCGGACCGGTGAAAAAGTTTCGAAATTTTACCAGGAACCGGTGCATGATTTATTTATATACTTTTATTTCTATTTGACAATATTATTCATATTATGGGGACCGGCAGCGTTAGGCGTGCGGACCGGTGAAGGTCCACGGACCGCCATTTGGGTCGAACTGCCCTAGTGGAATTTGTGATCTATAAATGTAACAATCTTATCGTGGTTCTGTGTTCTGTTTTTATTTGACATACGTTTTTTATCGTTACAAAACGTTCTGCAAAGGTCAAACTTTTCACCTCATCTCAATCATGAGTTGGCCTAAGTAATTTTAATCTTAATCCGTGGTCAGCAGAAAAACCTGTCCCGGGGCCTTGTAAGGTTCTTTTACTTTGTATCCATACTATATACACTTATTTTTTTAGTTAAATCAGGTGGTCCTTGGCATCATCATAGGGGTCCTTGGCAATCATCATAGGGGTCCTTGGCAATCATCATAGGGGTCCTTGGCAATCATCAAAGGTGTCCATGGCGATCATCATAGGGGTCCTTGGCAATCATCATAGGGGTCCTTGGCAATCATCATTGGGGCCCTTGGCAATCATCATAGGGTTCCTTGGCAATCATCATAGGGGTCCTTGGCAATCATCATAGGGGTCCTTGGCAATCATCATAGGGGTCCTTGGCAATCATCATAGGGGTCCTTGGCAATCATCAAAGGTGTCAATGGCGATCATCAAAGGTGTCAATGGCATTCATCAAAGGTGTCAATGGCGATCATCAAAGGTGTCAATGGCGACCATCAAAGGTGTCAATGGCGATCATCAAAGGTGTCAATGGCAATCATCAAAGGTGTCAATGGCGATCATCATAGGGGTCCGTAGAGTAAAAAAGGTTACATAGAATTAATGACTCATTGTCTCAAAAAATAATCAATGATTCGAGAGTTCTATGTAGGTAAACCATTAAAATACCGCGTCACAAAATTTTAAGGCATCGGTTCTCAACTTGTGGGACACGACCACTTTGGGGGGTAGAACGACCCTTTTACAGGGGTCGTTTATGACCATCGAAAAACACAAATTTCAGAAAAATCCACGAAAACAACACGAGGAACTGTATTAAAGGGACGCGGTATTGAAAGGGCTGAGAACAACTGCTTTAAGGGAAAATAAAACTATATTTCTATTTGATCCCACGGCAAGACTTGGTCCTGACGATTGGAACTGCAGCAGATAAACAGCAGAGATTCTTTTGATTCATTGTGCTCTTTTCCACGTCACAGAAATAATCTTCTTGCCGATATTTATATTTCTTACGGGACTCCTTCTCCGGGTTTAATTTCAGAGCTTGCCTTCTCTTAGATGAGTTGCCTTCTCTCAGATGAGTTGCCTTCTCTCAGATGAGTTGCCTTCTCTCAGATGAGTTGCCTTCTCTCAGATGAGTTGCCTTCTCTCAGATGAGTTGCCTTCTCTCAGATGAGTTGCCTTCTCTTAGATGAGTTGCCTTCTCTCAGATGAGTTGCCTTCTCTCAGATGAGTTGGCTTCTCTCAGATGAGTTGCCTTCTCTCAGATGAGTTGCCTTCTCTTAGATGAGTTGCCATCCAAGATTAACGATAGTCCCGTCCAACCGGGGTGCTGGAGATCTTTTTATTATTTTTTTCCGCATTTTCTGGGAATTGAGTTCTAGCTTGGGACTGACTCAGTTGACATCGCTACTAATGTAATACAAATACATTCTACGAATTTTTTCCCACACATAAAATATTGGCCCCTTTAATATGCGAGGTCCACATGGCTGCTCTGTTTGATCCTAAAGCATAATTGCATAGGTCATAGGTCATAAGTATGTTTATATAATGGTTAAATGATACATTCAAACATAACTCACACAACTACGTGCATTATTTTAATATATTTTTATTGGGAACGTGTCAAAAAAAACACACACAAAAACAAGCACAACAGACTGATTTCTGTGTTGTGCTTTACAACTTCCGGTAAAAGGTAGAAATAATTTCTTTTCTTAGTAGTAGTTGTTGCCCTTGCCTGTTGGAAAAGAAAAAGAAAAGATGTATATTGGCGATAAAAAATTGATTTAACTTGTTGAATTAAATTTCAAGATGTTTTTAAGACGTACAACTTCATAAATAGTGTACACTTAAAACGCTTTTAGACCAATGCTTCCTAAACATGTTGCTAAAGTATTTAAATAAAAAGGTTTGAAAATTATAAAATGAAGATCTCGGACACTCTATAACAAATTATGAAATAGCGCACGTATTGCAAAAAAAGTAAACGGGAAAATATCTCTGAACATACCGTAGCCGTAACCTCCAACTGGGATGACAACAGCTTTGCCGATGCCTCCTCCATAACCGTAGCCGCCGCCATGGCCCCATCCGCCACCAAGACCCCAACCTCCTCCGAGTCCACCGAAGCCTCCGCCGAGTCCACCGAAGCCTCCGAGTCCGCCGTAGCCTCCTCCGTATCCACCACGTCCGCCGAGACCGAGTCCAATCAGGCCGACACCGCCGAATCCACCACCGTATCCGCCGCCGTAGCCTCCACCGTATCCACCATATCCACCGCCATAACCGTATCCACCTCCGTATCCGGTGGCGCTAGCGAGAGCGACCATGCAAAGAACGGCGAGCACAGTTTTGTACATTGTCTGGGTAAGAAGGAAAACATTTGAGTGTCATTGCTTTACTCATACAATGGAAGTTTTTACCGTGTTCCGACTGGGAGATGACACAATGAACTCAAGTTTTCACATGTTACGAAGCACATCTATTATTATTTTATCGCTAAGTTGAGAAGTAACAGAAAATCTCATACAAACAAGATAAAAAAAAATTCTCTTATAAAGGAATTTTGTACATCAGGTAGAAACACTTGCAGATGTATCAATAGGACTTTATGATTTGATATTATGTTGTTGCCCCCTCCACCCCCAAACCAATATTTTTTTCTTATTAGAAAACTTAACTCATTATTTATTTAAACATAATTGGTTTGATTTTGGACTTATAGAATAGCTAATATGATTTAGGAAAGAAACTTGCCACATATATGTGGAATATATTTTTTCTAAATAGTTTTATTTTCTGCAATGCAAACGTGATTGAATATTCATTTGGCGGCATATTGTAACTTTAGAATTGTTTATCGGTTAATCATCAAAGTGATAAAGAGACGTCTCCTATTAAATGATTAACATTGTGTTGAAACACTTTAAAAAGCGAGAACGTTTGAAAATCTGTCGACTCACCGATATGCTGAGACCACGGTTTGAATTCTGTGACAAGCAGACTGGAGGTGTTGGGTGAATGGACTGTTACTGAAGAGACTTATATATAGAGCCAGGGCTGCTGGTGGACACGGAAGTAAGACACACATCAATGTGGGGGGGGGGGGAATGACATACGAATGAGGAGACACTTAAAAAAAAAGAACCTTTAAATGCGGGTAAAGCTCTGTCTGACAGGTCACTAAGGTAAAAAATGCCTCCTCGCTTATCTCATCAAATGGAGAAACAGTTTCAACTGATTCAACTCGAAAATTGAATGTAAATTTTTGAAAAAGAAAAAAAAAACACAAAATAATCTGCAAATGTTTGACTCATTCCTTTTGAACTATTTGATTAATACAAAGTTGTTGTTTTTTCTTTCAAATAAGAAAATAGTTTTCATTGTCAATCATTAACAGAATCTGTTCACTCAATCGATACCTGATTATATACTTATCATTATTCTCATCATGCTTGATGGGCTAATGACGTAGCATGTATGGTGCGAAACAGAAAAGGAGGGTTTTGGGGAGGGGGGTGGGGGCTAAATTCATGGGTGCTCAAAATTTTAAGATTTAAAATGTTCTGCACCACGTACAGCGTCACCTTTACAGTCACCAGGAGGTCATCGTACTGCCCAATTGCCTGACGAACCCTTTCTTTCACTTGATCATTGGAGATATGGTCCCTGAAGCTGATGCCAAGAATGTTTCTGAAACATCTCATCTCCATCGCCTCTATTTTCCTTTCAAGTTCTGCAGTTAATGTCCAGGATTCGCAGGCATATAATATATGCCGGCCTTTAAACAATAGTCCTAAACAGAGTCCTACACCATAATTGCCTGCCCTTAAACAATAGGCCTACAGACAGTCCCACACGCTACCTGCCAGATTTTAAACAATAGGCCTACATGCGGTCCTACAGGTAGCCATACAGACAGTCCTAAAGATAGCCATATAGACAGTCCTACAGAGAGTCCTACTCTTTATTAAAATAATAGTCGCCACCCCCCAAAAAAATTCAACGTTTTTACCCGAGTTCAACCGTCACCGATGACGCTCGCTGCTTGGACAGCATTTTTTAAAAATATTTTCACCAATTACTCTAAATATAAAACAAGCTGCTAAGGGGGGGGGGGGCTTTGTGTTAAAAGGAAGCAGCCATGTCAGAAGCAAAGTATAAATAAGAGATGGAAATTCACGATGAAATGTTTTCAAAAGTTTTTAAATGCCTCCACGATGCCATATTAACTGCCATATAAATAATGTTGATCCGTGTGGACTGTTTAAGATGAGACATTTAAGCATGTGATTGTACAGACAATTACACGTGAAGGTAAAATTGGCTTTTGGATCAAAATGTCGTGTTTGAAAAGCTCAGCACCTCTGTGGGATGGAGGTATCAGGACGATCACTGATCAAATTAAATCACCTAAACATGAAATTGATGGGTGGTTCCAAGATTTTCCAATAGAAATTGTTTTACTAATAACACACACTATTGGCTTCCAAGGTCGGTACCAACATTTGTATTGTTGGATCTATGGAACAAAAACGCGATACAAATTTTTAAAAAAGTAACATTTGTTGACTGAGTTTACATATCACCATGGACTGTTCTTATGTTAATCTATATACATATCTTCAAGAGTGTCGATTCTCACATTCTTGATACCGTCGTTATCGAAATAATAATAGCAGGAAATGTACGATAATTTCTACCTGCTATTGCGAAAACTCATCACAATTCCTTTTTTTTTTTTTTTTTAAGTAACTCTGTAATGATGTTTTTACGTTTAAAACATCATTAAAAGTTGTAAGAAGTATTTTTCTGCTATTTATTATACGTCAGCCTAACTCTTTTCGTTCCCTTAAATATATTTGTTTTATTCTCATGTTCAAACTCTCGGTGTCGATCTTTTTTTTTTTTTTTTTAAGTATCTCTGTAATGATGTTTTTACGTTTAAAACATCATTAAAAGTTGTAAGAAGTATTTTTCTGCTATATATTATACGTCAGCCTAACTCTTTTCGTGCCCTTAAATACATTTGTTTTCCTCTCTCAACATTAACTTAAATCAAGAAATCTTAATGATCACTTATTAAATCATTATTGTCACTAAAGGATTTCATTGACGGCTGATTTCTACGCTACATAAAACAATTTAGATGTCATATGTTTACTAAATTGTTAAATGTTTGGCCTAGCCTCCACTTTTCGTGCCTTTAAGCTAAATTGTTTTTTCTCTAAAAATTGTGAAAACTTAATCTTAACCTTACAACAAAAACTCTATATCCCATTTTAAATATATTTTATGATAACGGATTTTGATATACTGATATCATCCTTAAAAATTTAACCAAAATTTTGTCTTTGTTTTCTTAAATATTATCGGAAAATCGTCAGTCAAAGAATTCCTTGATCTAAAGAAGCATCTCTTAACCATTTTTTCACGTCTGTAACAGTCATGAGTGTTTTTTTAAATTTTTTTTATTTACAGAAATGTTATTACCATCATAACAATACACACCCACTTTACTTTTCGCAAAGTAAAAACAAAAATATATTTTCATTCTTTGAAAGAAAATTTTAACCCATCTCTATTTTTCAAAATTAAATTTTCACCTGTGTAAAATGATTGGCTTTTGATATTCATGTACCCATATGTCAACGTACCCACGTCTTGCTAGCGCGGTTGATTTTTATAAATTGTTAAACATATGTTTATTTGTAAAAAGAGAATGTAACATCTCTTTTTAATAACATCAATATCATTGGATTTAAAGATCTTGTCATCCATGTAAAAATGTCCACACCCACTAATCCTACTCCCGATATATACGTATCTAAGAAGGTAATTATTTGACAAATTCATTCGTTTATTCTGAGGCGTATCTTGGGCTAACTGGGGCAAAATAAAATTATCGATCATTTAAATTATTTAACCGCAGGCAAAAAAGTGTGTGTGTGGCACGCGGGGGGTAAATTCGTACTGACAGGGAAACACATTTTTAATTTTTTTTTTTTTTCTGTTCCTAAGTTTAAGAGAAATAATTCGCCCGGATCGAGCTGCTCTGTGATATATGTGATGAATGGGTTTGGATCTATTATCTCCTATATATATTTTGCTTGTGGTGTGACTGCTTCCATTTCCGGCTGCTTCCTGTTCCCAATCCACCCTTCCTCTACTCAATATGTTTTATATCTCTTAGATATATATTCTGCTCGTAGTGTGACTGCTTCCATTTCCGCATAGCGCGAAAAATATATAAATAACGCAAATGCGTTTCGTGCGTAATATTTTCTTTTCTTTTCGGAAAATGAAATCGTCTCAATTTAGCAAAAATTCGGATTCTTAAATGTGTGTTACTTCAGTTCATGTTTTGTCAAGTGACTTTAGTAGAGGGGAAGTTCATGCATTGCTGTCGTCAATGTTTGGTGAGCTATAACTAGTAGATGAGAAGTTCATGCATTGCTGTCACAAATGTTTGGCGGGCTATAACTAGTAGATGAGAAGTTCATGCATTGCTGTCACCAATGTTTGGCGGGCTATGACTAGTTTAAAATGTTGTTTTAGTTCATAACAGTGTTTTCGAACCATTTTTTTTGCCATGCCCCACCAAAGCATTTATAAAGCTCAATCCCCCCCCCCCCTTTTAATATATACTGAATGAAAACTAAATAATATATTTTAATTTTTCAATTTATTATTCATTATCTATTTATTTTAAAATACAATGTGAGATCACAAATACAACATAGTATCAGAAATACATTGCTAGATGACTAATACATTGTGACATGACTAATACTGTGTCAGATGACAATAAATACAGTGTGCGATGGCAGATAATGTGTGAGATGACTAATACATTGTGAGATGACTAATACATTGTGAGATGACTAATAATGTGTGAGATGACTAATACAGTGTGAGATGACTAATACAGTGTGAGATGACTAATACAGTGTGAGATGACTAATAATGTGTGAGATGACTAACACAGTGTGAATGACAAATACAGTGTGAGATGACTAAAACAGTGTGAGATGACTAATTTAGTGTGAGATGACTAATACATTGTGAGATGACTAATACAGTGTGAGATGACTAATACATTGTGAGATGACTAATATAGTGTGAGAAGACTAATACATTGTGAGATGACTAATACAGTGTGAGATGACTAATATAGTGTGAGATGACTAATACAGTGTGAGATGACTAATATAGTGTGAGATGACAAATACAGTGTGAGATGACTAATGCATTGTGAGATGACTAATACAGTGTGAGATGACTAATACAGTGTGAGATGACTAATATAGTGTGAGATGACTAATACAGTGTGAGATGACTAATACAGTGTGAGATGACTAATATAGTGTGAGATGACATATTCTTGAGCAAGTTTCCTCCGTAAAGTACCTGGGTGTTACCATTCAAAGAGAGGTCCGATGGGATGAACATATTAACAATGTATGTAACCAAGCAAACAAGACCCTAGGGTTCTTAAGGCGAAATCTAAAGATTGGCAACTCCTGTGTGAAAGAAAGAGCATATAAAGCCTTTATCCGTCCGATTTTAGATTATGCATCTTCAGTCTGGGACCCATTTACCCAGAAGAGCATTGACAGGTTGGAGGCGGTCCAGCGACGAGCAGCACGCTTTGTCCTAAACCGCTACAGGAATACCTCAAGTGTTGGCAGCATGCTAGAAACACTAGGCTGGTCACCATTGGAGAAACGACGACGACAATCCAGGCTCTCCATGATGTACAAGATAAATAATGGGCTGGTCCACTGTTCCAGTATTAAACAGAAACTCGTACCTCTCCCCCATAGACAGCGACGAGGCCATGACAGGCAATTCAGGCTCATACCAGCAAGAAGCCAGTATAGGAGCTGCTCATTCCTGCCCAAGACAATCAGGGACTGGAACAATCTTTCAAAAGGAACGGTTGAGGCGACAACACTAGACACATTTGTGTCTATTGCCTCAAGCCTTCAAACCCCCAGTGCATGATTCCCTCACAAAGTGGCCCTGGAAATCTGTGAAATTTCCTCATCAACACCAGGAACAGAAACATGCAAATCCCATCTACATGCATAGGAGCCAAAATGATCAATAAATTGATCGTGGGCCCTTAAGATATAGAAGAAGAAGAAGAATACAGTGTGAGATGACTAATACATTGTGAGATGACTAATATAGTGTGAGATGACTAATACAATGTGAGATGACTAATATAGTGTGAGATGACTAATACATTGTGAGATGACTAATATAGTGTGAGATGACTAATACAATGTGAGATGACTAATATAGTGTGAGATGACTAATACATTGTGAGATGACTAATATAGTGTGAGATAACAAATACAGTGTGAGATGACAAATACATTGTGAGATGACTAATACAGTGTGAGATGACTAATATAGTGTGAGATGACTAATACAGTGTGAGATGACTAATATAGTGTGAGATGACTAATACAATGTGAGATGACTAATATAGTGTGAGATAACAAATACAGTGTGAGATGACTAATACATTGTGAGATGACTAATACAGTGTGAGATGACTAATACATTGTGAGATGACTAATACAGTGTGAGATGACTAATATAGTGTGAGATGACTAATACAATGTGAGATGACTAATACAGTGTGAGATGACTAATGCATTGTGAGATGACTAATACAGTGTGAGATGACTAATATAGTGTGAGATGACTAATACAATGTGAGATGACTAATATAGTGTGAGATGACAAATACAGTGTGAGATGACTAATACATTGTGAGATGACTAATACAGTGTGAGATGACTAATACATTGTGAGATGACTAATACAGTGTGAGATGACTAATATAGTGTGAGATGACTAATACAGTGTGAGATGACTAATACAGTGTGAGATGACTAATACATTGTGAGATGACTAATACAGTGTGAGATGACTAATATAGTGTGAGATGACTAATACAGTGTGAGATGACTAATACAGTGTGAGATGACTAATATAGTGTGAGATGACAAATACAGTGTGAGATGACTAATATAGTGTGAGATGACAAATACAGTGTGAGATGACTAATACATTGTGAGATGACTAATACAGTGTGAGATGACTAATATAGTGTGAGATGACTAATACAGTGTGAGATGACTAATATAGTGTGAGATGACTAATACATTGTGAGATGACTAATATAGTGTGAGATGACTAATACAATGTGAGATGACTAATATAGTGTGAGATGACAAATACAGAGTGAGATGACTAATACATTGTGAGATGACTAATACAGTGTGAGATGACTAATACAGTGTGAGATGACTAATATAGTGTGAGATGACTAATACAGTGTGAGATGACTAATATAGTGTGAGATGACTAATACAGTGTGAGATGACTAATATAGTGTGAGATGACTAATACAGTGTGAGATGACTAATACAGTGTGAGATGACTAATACAGTGTGAGATGACTAATACAGTGTGAGATGACTAATACAGTGTGAGATGACTAATACAGTGTGAGATGACTAATACAGTGTGAGATGACTAATACAGTGTGAGATGACTAATACAGTGTGAGATGACTAATACAGTGTGAGATGACTAATACAGTGTGAGATGACTAATACAGTGTGAGATGACTAATACAGTGTGAGATGACTAATACAGTGTGAGATGACTAATACAGTGTGAGATGACTAATACAGTGTGAGATGACTAATACAGTGTGAGATGACTAATACAGTGTGAGATGACTAATACAGTGTGAGATGACTAATACAGTGTGAGATGACTAATACAGTGTGAGATGACTAATACAGTGTGAGATGACTAATACAGTGTGAGATGACTAATACAGTGTGAGATGACTAATACAGTGTGAGATGACTAATACAGTGTGAGATGACTAATACAGTGTGAGATGACTAATACAGTGTGAGATGACTAATACAGTGTGAGATGACTAATACAGTGTGAGATGACTAATACAGTGTGAGATGACTAATACAGTGTGAGATGACTAATACAGTGTGAGATGACTAATACAGTGTGAGATGACTAATACAGTGTGAGATGACTAATATAGTGTGAGATGACTAATACAGTGTGAGATGACTAATACAGTGTGAGATGACTAATACAGTGTGAGATGACTAATACATTGTGAGATGACTAATACAGTGTGAGATGACTAATATAGTGTGAGATGACAAATACAGTGTGAGATGACTAATACATTGTGAGATGACTAATACAGTGTGAGATGACTAATATAGTGTGAGATGACAAATACAGTGTGAGATGACTAATGCATTGTGAGATGACTAATATAGTGTGAGATGACTAATACATTGTGAGATGACTAATATAGTGTGAGATGACAAATACAGTGTGAGATGACTAATTTAATGAGAAACTTATGCTTGATGCTAGCTGCACAGAGATGTTATGTTAGGCTCCAATTTAGATAGCATCAGTCTCAAGTCTCCCCGCTCCGCTGTGCTATAATCAACAATTTAGATAGCATCAGTCTCAAGTCTCCCCGCTCCGCTGTGCTATAATCAACAATTTAGATAGCATCAGTCTCAAGTCTCCCCGCTCCGCTGTGCTATAATCAACAATTTAGATATCTTCAGTCTCAAGTCTCAAGTCTCCCCGCTCCGCTGTGCTATAATCAACAATTTAGATAGCATCAGTCTCAAGTCTCCCCGCTCCGCTGTGCTATAATCAACAATTTAGATATCTTCAGTCTCAAGTCTCAAGTCTCCCCGTTGTGCTATAATCAACAATTTAGATATCTTCAGTCTCAGGTCTCAAGTCTCCCCTCTGTGTTATATCCAGCTGATTTTTTTTTTTAAAGCAGATAATCCCTTACGACACGAAATCCACATTCAGCTAATTATAGAGATGGAAACGGTAACAATAGCTGTCTTGCATCTGACGTTGAATTTGAATATTTGATTGCTGTCTCCTCACAAAGCCATGCCATCATTCATTTTATATTAAATTTTTAGCATACTATCATTTTGCATTTTTTACGAACTTTTCTTGATACTACATATTTGAAATATCAGACAAATCCACTAACATTGGCAGCGTCATCCAAGTTGGAAAATCAATTTATTTTAAATCTGAAATCAATAACACCTATAGCGGTATCGTCACTTCACATTTTTTGAGCCAATGAAACTTTTCAAAATTGTCGTTACCAACACCTTTTGGACACAATTCAATAAATGTAATGAAACCAAATATCTTCGCTTTTGTATCGACAAGAGTTTTATTTGCTCTTTGATGCTGGTTAGTTTATTTATTTATTCTTTCAAAGATATCGCCTAAACAACTCACAAATGCTTTACCATCCACTGTGAACAGGTACTTCATTTCAGGTTTCTCACTAAAAAAGTCACCAAGAGTAATCAAATAGTTGCATAAATCTTTTCCAGCAGTTCCTTTTCGAGAGCCACCTTACTTCAGTGTGACGTAAAAGTCTCACGTGGTCTGCATTTTGTTCTTTTACAAAACAGCTTGAAGAGACACTCACGTGTGGAATTAACTTTAATAGCATTGATACACCTCATAACTGAATGTAACATTTCATAACTGAATTTAACACCTCATAACTGAATTTAACACTCATAACTGAATTTAACACTTCATAACTGAATTTAATACTTCATAACTGAATTTAACACTTCATAACTGAATTTAACACTTCATAACTGAATTTAATACTTCATTACTGAATTTAATACTTCATAACTGAATTTAACACTTCATAACTGAATTTAACACTTCATAACTGAATTTAACACTTCATAACTGAACTTAACACTTCATAACTGAATTTAATACTTCATAACTGAATTTAATACTTTATAACTGAATTTAACACTTCATAACTGAATTTAATACTTCATTAAGAACAAGCGAAATAGGTTTAACTACCAAGTTTAGCCTATAATTAACACATTGCTTAAGAAGCATTTCTGGATTCTCAGCCTTCATCAATTTTAAGTTTTAGCTGCCATTTTCTTGCTCAACATATTAGGAGAACTATCTGAAGCATAAGATGTTATAATTTTTTTACTAGTTAGTGAAGCATGTTTAGTTTGTACGATGTCACTAGCTAGTGAAGCATGTTTAGCTTGTGTGATGCCACTATCTAGTGAAGTATGTTTAGCTTGTGTGATGCCACTAGCTAGAGAAGCATGTTTAGTTTGTGTGATGTCACTAGTTATGTAAGCATGTTTAGTTTGTCCGATGTCACTAGCTAGTGAAGCATGTTTAGTTTATCCGATGTCACTAGCTAGTGAAGCATGTTTAGTTTGTCCGATGTCACTAGCTAGTGAAGTATGTTTAGTTTGTGTGATGTCACTAGTTAGTGAATCATGTTTAGTTTGTGTGATGTCACTAGCTAGTGAAGCATGTTTAGTTTGTCCAATGTCACTAGCTAGTGAAGCATGTTTAGCTTGTGTGATGTCACTAGCTAGTGAAGCATGTTTAGTTTGTGTGATTCACTAGCTAGTGAAGCATGTTTAGTTTGTGTGATGCCACTAGCCAGTGAGTATGTTTAGTTTGTGTGATGTCACTAGCTAGTGAAGTATGTTTAGTTTGTCCGATGTCACTAGCTAGTGAAGCATGTTTAGTTTGTCCGATGTCACTATCTAGGGAAGCATGTTTAGTTTGTGCGATGCCACTAGCTAGTGAAGCATGTTTAGTTTGTGCGATGTCACTAGCTAGTGAAGTATGTTTAGTTTGTCCGATGTCACTAGCTAGTGAAGCATGTTTAGCTTGTGTGATGCCACTAGCCAGTGAGTATGTTTAGTTTGTGTGATGTCACTAGCTAGTGAAGTATGTTTAGTTTGTCCGATGTCACTAGCTAGTGAAGTATGTTTAGTTTGTCCGATGTCACTAGCTAGTGAAGCATGTTTAGCTTGTGTGATGCCACTAGCTAGTGAAGTATGTTTAGTTTGTGCGATGTCACTAGCTAGTGAAGCATGTTTAGCTTGTGTGATGCCACTAGCTAGTGAAGTATGTTTAGCTTGTGTGATGCCACTAGCTAGTGAAGCATGTTGGCTTGTGCGATGTCACTAAATTTCTTGATTAGTGTTTTTAATGGGTGCTCTATTGTCGAATGAGTTAATCATTTATTTTTTGACACCAAAATTGTAGAATTATTGAAGATAGAAAAGTGTTTGGTTGATTTTTAAAAATAGAATTGGGCAGCGTTCATGCCATGTCAGCTTTCTTATTAATGGTGACACCTACAGGTACTTATAGGGCTCTACTTGTTCCATAATGTCATTTTTTTGGTGTTAGATGTGAAATTGGGTGATCCCCCTCCATAAATCAACAAAAATCTAAAGTTTGGATCAGTTGGTCTATTGATCATGTATACTTTTACAAGTTAGCGCAAACATGTTAATGACGTCGGAAGTTAAAAGTCTAAACAAAAACAAACAGAGATGGCTGGTCGAAAAAAAGATACAGAATCAATTCGTTAGTTTCAAAATTGTATTTGTCTTTTATTAAAGTACCCACAGTTTTGTGTCCAAAAATACATAAAAACAATTCTCTATTTCAAATTTTTATTATAATTATCGAACGTTGTTTTTTGCACAAAACAAGAGATATCAAAACAAAATGTTATATTGTAAATGTGTACGTTTGACTGTATAAATTGTCGCCAAGATGTCACATAATATTATTCAGTTAGCCCAAAGCCTTTGCGTGGCATCATTTTGTTTTGTGCCCGCTGAATTCGAATTTTCCCTTCCGCGCAACACACACCGTGTCGTCGTGAGACCATCAGGGGCAACCTTAGCACAATAAAGAGTGGGGTGGGCGCACTCATTGTGCCCTTGAAATTTAAAAAAAGTTACTTACTAGTTATCTGGTAAACATACATTCTACGAATTTCGTTTACACACACCAGTTTTGGAACCCCCTTGATATCCTAGACCCCCCACAGCTGCAGGGGATCCACTGGGGTTGCGAGATTTGCATAGAACACATGACGGTTTATCTTAAACATAATTACATACGTCATAAGTGTGCTTATAGCATGGTGCTGCATCCGGTCTGCGTGCTTCTTAGTATAACTTTAATGTTTCAATTGATACATTCAGACAAAACTCACACAACTACGTGAATTATTTTTTTATATTTTTTATTGGGCGCGTCAATAGAACACGTATAACAGATTAATTTCCGATTTGTTTTATACACCATTCGGTACAAGAAAGAAAGAGTTTCTGTTCTTAGTAGTAGTTGTTGCCCTTGCCTGTTGGAGAAGAAAAAACAAAAAAATGCATATTGACGCTAACAAATTGATTTAACGTGCTGAATTAAATGTCAGGAAGTTTTTAAGATATAAGGATTTTAGTTCAATGCTTCCTAAATTTGTAGACACAGTATTTAAATAAAAAGGTTTGAAAATTATAAAATGAAGATCTCGGACACTCTATAATGCAATATGCAATAGCGCACGTATTGCAAAAAATGTGAACGGAAAAATATCTCTGAACATACCGTAGCCGTAACCTCCAACTGGGATGACAACAGCTTTGCCGACGCCGCCTCCATAACCGTAACCACCACCATGGCCCCATCCACCACCGAGACCCCAACCTCCTCCGAGTCCACCGAAGCCTCCGCCGAGTCCACCGAAACCTCCAATTCCACCGTAGCCTCCTCCGTATCCACCACGTCCGCCGAGACCGAGTCCAATCAGGCCGACGCCACCGAATCCACCACCGTATCCGCCGCCGTAGCCTCCACCGTATCCACCATATCCACCACCATAACCGTATCCACCTCCGTATCCGGTGGCGCTAGCAAGAGCGACCAGGCAAAGAACGGCGAGCACAGTTTTGTACATTGTCTGCAAGAAGAAAAACATTGTCTCATTGCTTTACTCATATAATTAAGTATCTAACATAAATAAATAAATAAATATATATATATATTATACATTGCTCTCTGGTTTTGTTTATTATGCTTTGAATGATTTCATATAATGCCAAAATTGGTGGAATATACCGTTGGCGTGGTATTGTAACTTCAGTATGATTTATTTAAAGTTTTCAAAGTTTTTAAATATCGTCATCTATAAAATTTTTAGGACTGTGTTGTGTTTAAACGCTTTAAAAAGCGAATACGTTTAAAAATCTACTGACTCACCGATATGCTGAGACCACGGTTTGAATTCCGTGACAAGTAGACTGGAGGTGTTGGGTGAATGGACTGTTACTGAGGAGACTTATATATAGGGGCAGGGCTGCTGGTGGACACGGAAGTAAGACACACATCAATGTGGAAGGGGGGGGAAGGGGGGGGTCTGGGAGAAGTACATGAACATCAGAACAGACTTAAGTAATTAAAAGTTTAATGCAGGCAAATCTCTAATTGACAGTCACAAGCTTCACAAATATAAAAATAGCTTCTGTGCTTATCTTGTCAAATGTCAAGACAGTGTAAAAAGATTCTTTTTGCAAAAAAAAAAATGTTAATTTTTAGGAGAAAGAAAACCAATTTATTCTGTAAATGTTTTAACCATTACTTTTCAATTATTTTATTAATTCACGGTTAGTTGTTTTTTTTAACTTTTAGAATCATTAAATTAGTTTGTAAGTTAACCATCAAGAAAATTAGCTTGCACAACGGTATTTGATTTTATTCTTAACGTTATTCTTACTATTCTGATCATACTTGATGAGATAACGCCTTTGTATGCGGGGTGCGAAAAAGAAATTTAAAATAGAGTAACCCCCCCCCCTCCCCTTACACAGAAACTCTCTTAATTTTTGGAACATTCCTAACAGTACCAAAGTCTTGAGTTAATACGATAAAATAAGACTAAATGATGGCTAAAATCGCAAAATCAAGAATTTAAAATATTTCACTCTGTTGTACATTTTAGAAGGCTACAATTAAACGCCGTGAAATTAAATTGCTTTGATTTTTAACTATAATGCTATGTCTTGCTATGTTCCTTGATATTTAGTTCTTTCTCTTTTTAAAGAGTAGACCCCAATGACTCTTTCTTGTTTGCGTTATTTGTAAAAAAATGATTTCCCATACTTACTTCGTTTCACTCATTTCCATTAAGTTAAAGCTGGAAGTGTATGGTGTCATTTCCATTAAGTTAAAGCTGGAAGTGTATGGCGTCATTTCCATTAAGTTAAAGCTGGAAGTGTATGGTGTCATTTCCATTAAGTTAAAGCTGGAAGTGTATGGCGTCATTTCCATTAAGTTAAAGCTGGAAGTGTATGGTGTCATTTCCATTAAGTTAAAGCTGGAAGTGTATGGTGTCATTTCCATTAAGTTAAAGCTGGAAGTGTATGGTGTCATTTCCATTAAGTTAAAGCTGGAAGTGTATGGCGTCATTTCCATTAAGTTATAGCTGGAAGTGTATGGCGTCATTTCCATTAAGTTAAAGCTGGAAGTGTATGGTGTCATTTCCATTAAGTTAAAGCTGGAAGTGTATGGTGTCATTTCCATTAAGTTAAAGCTGGAAGTGTATGGTGTCATTTCCATTAAGTTAAAGCTGGAAGTGTATGGCGTCATTTCCATTAAGTTAAAGCTGGAAGTGTATGGCGTCATTTCCATTAAGTTAAAGCTGGAAGTGTATGGCGTCATTTCCATTAAGTTAAAGCTGGAAGTGTATGGTGTCATTTCCATTAAGTTAAAGCTGGAAGTGTATGGCGTCATTTCCATTAAGTTAAAGCTGGAAGTGTATGGCGTCATTTCCATTAAATTAAAGCTGGAAGTGTATGGCGTCATTTCCATTAAGTTAAAGCTGGAAGTGTATGGTGTCATTTCCATTAAGTTAAAGCTGGAAGTGTATGGCGATAGTTATTTTAAGTTGGAAAAAAAAATGTTGTTTATGAAATTTGAAGACGAAAAATTAAAAAAAAAAAAAGTTATATATTGTCAATATTTCTACGATGCAACATTGACCGCAATATGAGTAATGGCGACCTATGAAGACTGTTAGAAAATATTAACTTTTCATCACGTGATCATTTAGAAAATTGTATTCAGTTGTAAAATTCATTTTTGCATTAAAATGTCATGTTTGAAAAGCTCTTCACTCTGGTGAGTTAGAAACAAAAGGAAGATAAGATTATAGGTCCAATTGAATCCATTGAAAATTAATTTGTAAGGGTGGTCCTAAGATTTTGCAATAGAAGCCGTTTCACTAATTATTAAACACAATTTTTGCTTTTTTTTAAACGGAGCCAACATTCCTAATAACTTACAAGACGTATTCTTGAATCTGTGGAGCAAATAATCGCTAAACATGTTTAAAAAAAAAATGAACATATTTTGACTGAGTTGACATGTCACCGTGAATGTTCTATGATCTTGTAACACTTCTCCTCTACTAATATGTAACAAGTGTCACAGTCCTGGCTTGTTTACGGCGAGTCTTTCCTAATTTATTAACAGGATGAACTGCTGTGAATGCACGAGATAAATCCAGAGGTTGTCATCACTATTTAACTTTTATTTACATTGACATGAAGATTCACTCTATAAAATAGGTATCCTATTCGGAAGAAGATCATTGTCATGCCATCATATACTTTATAATCCAAACAGATGAACGATAATTGTTCAGATTCAATATGACGTAGCATAAAACAATGCAAGAGAAAATTTCACAAAACAAGCGCATTTTCTCCATGTTCAACCTCCTCTCTAACTTTCTTTCTCTCTCTCTCTCTCTCTCTGCCTCTCTCTCTCTCTCTCTGTCTCTGCGCATGACATTCAAAACTTTATCTTAATACGAAAACTAATGAAAATATCTATTCTAATAATTATGAAGCTGTTACAGATCTCTTTTTATGTTAACTTTATAGATATCTCAAAGTGAGTCCTTGCACACGTTCATTATACACGTATTTAATTTGTTTAAATCACATATACTGTTTATATTCCATGAGTTTGGCTTTAGCAGGCCCACAACTCTTATCACTTTCAACTACAAGTACAGTAATCACATTGAATATTAAGTAACGAAAAGATTATATTCTTTTATTTTGTTCAAGTAAATGGAAATATATTTGAATTACTTTTTAAACCAAGACTACATTTTACAATTATAAAAATTTAAGCACAAGACATTTAGAGTATTTCTCTAGCGTAGAAATCAGCCATTTATGAACTCCCGTAACAATAATGACTTAATAAGTGATCATTTAGATTTTGTAGCCACTGGGCGAGCACGCTGGTAAATATGTACAGAATGGGGAACAAAATAACTTTTTATATCTTTCGGTTCTAACTTTAAGAGAAAGACTTTGGCCTGTTAGAGCTGATCTTAGGTATCTGTGTTGAAGAGGGTGGCATGTGTCATGTAAAATATTTTTAAAAAAAAACAATTTTACAACAGAATTTTAAAATAGGTTTTTTTTTAAATGAAAAATGTTTAGCGTGTGTGATGTTAATAGTTCTCTTGATTAATCTTTTTATGAAATAGTAGAACAGGGTATGTTAAAGCTTGAGTCAATAGACAAGACAACATGATCTGGTCTTTTCGGGTTAGAGCCTTGTTCAACGAATGAAATTAGAACAATCGGTGTTTCTTGTAACACGATGAATTCCAACATCAGCAGATAATACTGAGGGTCGTTAGGATTCCAATTGTTGCACTGTGAAATAAGTTAATAACTTGTTATTTAAGCCAAAATTATGTAATTTTCTAAAAATATTAAAGTCTTTGATTGACTTTTTTTAAATACATAATTGGCTGTGCTCACGTCATGTCAGCTCATTATTAATGGTGATGCCTAGTTACATCTATGTCTCTAATTACTCCACATTTTGATTTGTTATTGTGACATCTGCAATTGGTTGTCTCACCCCCCCCCCCACCGGCCGGTTCAGGAAATCAACAACCATTTCTTTCGTTTTTTTTGAGACATTCAACTGAAGACAACATTCATCTAATAAAACGTGTAACTAAGTCCCGGTATAAGCTTTTCCCCGTCGGATATTAAATTTTTAAATACATAATTGGCTTTGCTCACGTCATGTCAGCTCATTATTAATTGTTATGCCTAGTTACATCTATGTCTCTAATTTCTCCACATTTTGATTTGTTATTTTGACATCTGCAATTGGGTGTCCCCCCCCCCCCCCCACCGGCCGGTTCAGGAAATCAACAACCATTTCTTTCGTTTTTTTTGAGACATTCAACTGAAGACAACATTCATCTAATAAAGCGTGTAACTAAGTCCCGGTATAAGCTTTTCCCCGTCGGATATTAAGCCAACAATGGTGACAACATCAGCAAATTCAATGATTGGAAAAAATTGTCTCGTAAAATGTATAATTTTATCGGTTAACACAAACATGTTAACGTAGACGCAGGTTAAACGCCTAACAACAACAACATAAAAAAAAATATTTAAAAAAAACAACAACATGGGGCTTGCCGAAAAAAAGATTTGGAACCTATCTTTTGACTGCATATTTGTATTAGTCTTTTATTGACCCCTGTTACGACCTTCGTTATACTAGACGTGTTACGGCCCTCTTGCTTTGTCTAGGGTGTATGACTCTCTCACATAAAACGCAAAGGTCCATTGTAACAATATATATATAGAATATTTATTAGGTTCTTTATACAACAGGATACACTTCACTCTAACTCTTAACTGACAATCTTGACGACTCTTGCTCTCTGACTGTCTCTGTCTCTCCCTGTCTCTCACTGACTCTGACTTTCTCTGACTGACCTCTAGCTAACACACATCCCTTTTATATCCCCACACAAACAACTCAGCCTACGCAAACGTGCCACACCACGGACTAACTTCACGCTCTGACCCCACGACCAACAACTCACAAAACACTCCCACGATTAACGACTCCCCCTACCCAACACTCACAACAAACCAGTTCACAACAACCCCACACACGGTTTTGTGTCATTGTAGCCACATCTAAGCGATTGAATTGAAAACGATCCGACGACTGTACAATAATTTCTCTTCATAGTTCAGTACTCTTTTTTATTGTGCAGTGGCAAACTAAAGTAACTCAAGCCAGGCGTATTTAGTCAAACCCGACAGACACGTGAAATGACAATGTTGGTCATCTTTCTGCTCATATGCCATACACAGCACAATCCAAAATCCCTGTTGTCACACATATTATTAGGAGTATGTGAAGCACTAATGGAACACAAGTAATGTACTTAATATTTATTGTGTGCAGTATCAAGAGCGTAGGGATTTGAGAGGACTGGCCAATCAGAGTGCGTGATTGAATAATAGAAGACGGAGACAATAATGGTGGAGAGTGATCAGAGACCATTTTTTTTTAATGTATCAGGATTTCGTTAATAATATTTTCAAGTAAAACTAGATTATATCATGGGATTTTAATGGGGACTGACATTTGTGTGATGTGATTCGACGCATCTTCATATTTCTGTGAAACATATTTTGTCTTGTGGACACCGGTGAGTGCTGATATTAAAATTAGTCACTGTTTTAACCGCATCATCTCGGGTATTATTTATTACTAAAAGTGAAAAGTGACACCTGTCAAAGATTAAACAACCACGTTTAAGACCAGGTTTAATTATTTTTTTTTAAAACAAAAACATACGTTGCAGTGTGTCTATTTCAGGGCAAGATTTGGACTTAAGAGTGAAAAAAAAAAACAAACAACAAGCCAAACGAATAGACTCACCACCACGAGGGGAAACATAATTCAGACTTCAGATCAAGTCATAACAGATTACATTCCCATGAAACAGACTTAAATACATTGAATTAATATGTTTTGTAATTTTTAGCAAAGGTTACATAATTCTACCAAGAATTTTCTGTACGCATCGTCTGACAAACCAATCGGTGGTTCGGCGTTTCCTTGCGTGCAAAGCACCACAATTACACGACCACAAAACTTTAGGGGAAACTATAACTAAAGTATCGTACTCGATTAAAAAAACGCGGTATCGTTAAACCATCTTTTGCAACTCTCAGTATTAGGAGTTTGACTCTATTTCCGCCTTTCCTGTCAGAGTTTGCCTTCTCATAGATCAGTTGCCATCCCAGGTCAACGTGACCCACCCAGCAGGGGGGGTGGGGGGGGGGGCGCTGGTGTTAATTTTGCGTGTGACGCCTTTTGCTAGGAATTGAACCCCGAGTCCAAACAAATACACTTGGGATTGAGACTATCAGAAAACGTGGGGGGGGGGGCGGGGGGCAGACGCCCTTTAATCGACTAATTACTAACTTGTTATCTATTAATAATAACATCAGCGAATTTTTTTTTTCCACATTCTAAGTCTGAGCACCTTTATATAAGCAAGGCTTCCTGAAGCCGCAGGGGTTGCAGGGATTGATTGACGGACCTGATTGACCCTAAAGCATACTGACACATGCCATAAGTGTGTTCATAGAATGGTGTTCAGAAATGGGATACTGCCTCTTTGATTTTAACGTAATGTTTCAAATGATATGTCACAGATCAACTATTTAGATATAAATTTTGTTTCGTAAAATAATGTAGTGTTTTGTTAAGTAGAAAAAAAACCAGGAAGTTAAGGAATGAATTATGGGAAGGAAAAAAACTGAGAGTGACGGTTGGAGGTTTTTTTTCATGAGTACTTGCTACGGTCATTTTAGTTATTGAACAGCAGCTTAATGTTGATTGTGAAATGGAAGAAGTTATATGAAGAATTATATTTTTACTCTGATCTACGGAGATGTTATTTTATTATGTGTACTTTTCATCAGTATATAAACGTCGTGATGCTAAATCAGTGAGTTCTCTGGTAATGCTTTGGATAATCATGGACGTATGTGGATGTGGATGAATAGTGTGAGCGATAACTACAACTCTACAAGTAGCATCATAACCCACACATATACATATAATATATGATCGTTACATGATACATTAAAAAAAAAACTCAAACAACTACCTTGATTAATTTTATATGTTTTTTTATTGAGTGCGTCTAAACAACACGCTTAACAGATTCACTTCCGTTTTGTGTTTTACAACTTCCGGTACAAGGAAGAAATCTTTTGTCCTTTTAGTAGTAGTTGTTGCCCTTGCCTGTTGGATACGAAAAACAGAAAATAGATGAATCTTGACGATAAACAAATTAGATAAACGTGTTTAAAGAAGTTTTTAAAGAATAATTATTTATAGATTTGTTAAACTTACGACAATTTTAGACCAAAGCTTCCTAGATATCTAGATGCAGTGTTTCAATATATACATTTCAAAACTTTTATGTAAATATTTCAGACACTCTATAATACATATATATACTTATATATAAATATAAATAAATAAATATATATATATATTAAATATATATATTTATATATAGATATATCTTAATTGTAGTGTGGCTGCTTTTATTTCCCAACCAGCCCTCCCCTACTCAACATTTTTCATATCAATAGTGGTGAGTGGAAAAAAAAGAACAAGCACAGAGCTTCATGCGCTGCGATTGAACTCAGGTATAAAGGTTACATTTTTTCGTAGGAGACTTTTATCTTATTGTCTGTGGGACTGCATGGAGGACTATTGTCTAAAGACCGCTCGTGTTATAGAAAATTAGAAATCAACTCTTTTTTTTAACATTTGGACCAACCGGTATTTTCTCAAAATCCCCGGACCCACTGTAAAAAAAAACTGCACCTGGCTGAGCCCTACCATTAATAAATACACGTATTGCGAAAAAATTAAAAGGGAAAATATCTCTGAACATACCGTAGCCGTAACCTCCAACAGGGATGACAACAGCTTTGCCGACGCCTCCACCATAACCGTAGCCGCCTCCATGGCCCCGTCCACCACCAAGACCCCAACCTCCTCCGAGTCCACCGAAGCCTCCGCCGAGTCCACCGAAGCCTCCGAGTCCACCGTAGCCTCCTCCGTATCCACCACGTCCGCCGAGACCGAGTCCAATCAGGCCGACACCGCCGAATCCACCACCGTATCCACCGCCATAACCTCCACCGTATCCACCATATCCACCGCCATAACCGTATCCACCTCCGTATCCGGTGGCGCTAGCGAGAGCGACCAGGCAAAGAACGGCGAGCACAGTTTTGTACATTGTCTGCAAGAAGGAAAACATTATCATTGCCTTACTCATACAATGGAAGTTTTTACCGTCTTTCCAATGAGGATTTACATTGAATTAAAGTTTCAACATATTACACAATACAATCATTAGTCTTTTATCGTTAAGTTGAGAAGAAACATAGAATCTCATGCAACCAAGATTTGAACACATTTCTCATTTGAGGACTTGTGTTTAAAAGGTGGACACACATGCAGGTGTGTGAAACGGACCCCTTGACATGATGTGATGTGGTTGCTCTTTTTTTCCCCCAAATATTTTTTTTTTTAAAACTGATTAAGAAACCATTACTCACTATTTATATTTACCTAATTGGTAGATTGAGGATTTATAGAACAGTTGATTATGATTTAGTAAAGAAACTTGCAACAAATATGTGGACTTTAAGAGAAGCTGCGTGCAAGACCAGAAGTTTACCAATTAAGAAAGTTGAAAGAAAAAAAAAACATCCGAAAGATAAAGCTTAGCGTAACAACACGGTCTAATTATAAGGTTGTGTGACACGGTCTAATTATAAGGTTGTGTGACACGGTCTAATTATAAGGTTGTGTGACACGGTCTAATTATAAGGTTGTGTGACACGGTCTAATTATAAGGTTGTGTGACACTGTATAATAATTAAATTGTGTGACACGGTCTAATAATTAAATTATGTGACACGGTCTAATAATTAAATTGTGTGACACGGTCTAATAATTAAATTGTGTGACACGGTCTAATAATTAAATTGTGTGACACGGTCTAATAATTAAATTGTGTGACACGGTCTAATAATTAAATTGTGTGACACGGTCTAATAATTAAATTGTGTGACACGGTCTAATAATTAAATTGTGTGACACGGTCTAATAATTAAATTGTGTGACACGGTCTAATAATTAAATTGTGTGACACGGTCTAATAATTAAATTGTGTGACACGGTCTAATAATTAAATTGTGTGACACGGTCTAATAATTAAATTGTGTGACACGGTCTAATAATTAAATTGTGTGACACGGTCTAATAATTAAATTGTGTGACACGGTCTAATAATTAAATTGTGTGACACGGTCTAATAATTAAATTGTGTGACACGGTCTAATAATTAAATTGTGTGACACGGTCTAATAATTAAATTGTGTGANTATACACACATATATATTCCTCTTTTGTTTTGTTTATGATGAGTACAGTATGTTTTTCTATACAATGCAAAAAGAAATTGGTGCAATATTGCGTTTGAGGTATTTTGTAACGTTAGAATGGTTAACAGTTGAAGAGATTAGAGTCATATCGTTTTCTATTAAATGATCAGCGCTGTGTTTAAACGCGTTAAAAAAGCGATTAATTAACACGAATGTTTTCACTCACCGATATGTTGAGACTACGGTTTGAATGCTGTGACAAGCAGACTGGAGTTGTTGGGTGAATGGACTATCACTGATGAGGCTTATATATAGAGCCCGGACTGTTGGTGGACACGGAAGTAAGACACACATCGACGTGTGTGTGTGGGGGGGGGAGGGGGGGCTGGCAGAAGGACATGAGCATCAGAACGGACTTAAATTAAAAGTTCAATGCAGGCAAATCTTCAACTGACAGGTACAGAGCTTTCGTGCTTATCTCATCAAATCAAAAGACAGTGTCAACAGCCGATTTTTTAAACAGTTTTTTTTTTAAAGTTAATTTCAACGAAAAAATAACAAAGCAATCTTTCAATGTTTGAATCTTTCATTGTCTAATATTTTATTTTACACACAGTCTTTTTCAAATAAGAAAATTATTTGTGTTATTTAAACATTTAAAAATGTGTTTACACAGTCAATATTAAATCATGCCTAAAATTATTATGATTCATATTATTGTTGAATGGCTAATAACCTAGCCAGTGAGTTGGGAAACGGGCTGGTGAGAGGGGAAGGAATGGCGGGTGTGTTTGAATTCTTACAAGTTCAAAGCTCGAAGAAAGAGAAAGCATTAAGAATCAATATATATATTTTTTTTAAAACAGTGTACAAACAATCCTTTTCCTCCCAAATTACACAAATAATGTCTCAATTTTTCATCATTTCAAACTGCTTTCTTACTATATGTCTATGGAAAAATAAAAGTGTTGCATCGTGACCCTCTGCTGCACTTTTCATGTCAAATTCAGATGCTCATTTTTTTAAGAAGACTTTAGAAGATAACTGTAGATTGCAGCTATAATTTCTGCATGACCTTAGTTCATAACTTTAAAATATAATCACATGCAGCTATGTTTTTAAATTGTATGCCTGATTTCAAATCGATGTTAATCGATGCTTCTATCCATTAATATTTTTTTATTAAATGTAATCGTATAAAAATGAACACGATGAATGTCGTAAAATGGTTTTCATAGCTTTACGAAAAGAAATAATCGCATTGTCAATATCGAAACTTCTATAAAAAAATTGACCAAATTGTCTACTTTCGGTGTATTTAATTGATGTATAATTTTAAATCTTTTTAATGTAATCTGTTATATACAACTTTGAATAGTTCGTTACCGATGAAAACAATTAATAGTGTCTTATCACTCCCAAATTTCTTTAAATGCAAGGGGAAACGACTACTATTGAAATCCGGGCCGTGTAGCAATGACCAACACGTATTTATGTATACGATTTGTTATAGGGTTAAAGAAAAAACAGTTCTACCTGGTTTCTTGTATTGGTATCGGTTTGATGGTCAAGAGCTTACCATGGGCGCCCGCAGGTAGTGGCAAGGTGGGGCACTTGCTCCCCCCCCCCTGGATTGATTGGATAAAAAATTTTGAGACAAAAATAGACAAAAAATTTATTAAAATAAAGAGAAAATAAAGAGAAAGTAACTAAGCTGATGTCCTTTCCGTTCGTTCACCATACAAATATGCTACAGTAAATTAAAACTATATTAAAACATTACTAAAATTTTTGCCCCCCCCCCTGGAAAGTTAATTGATTTTATTTTTTGTCCCCCCCCCCCCTAGAAAGTTTTCTGCGGGCGCCCATGGAGGTTACTGTTTTATTTTGTTGGGGAATATTGGTGAGATGTCGGGATCCACCTCATTCTGACCTCTCACCATTGGTGTTTAGAGATTTTTTTTTTTTTAAACCGGAATTGGATTTGTGTTCAACACTGGAAATATTTAAGGAAATCTAGAAAAATTAGTGAAAAACATAGAAAATAGAACGTTCAGGAGAAATGTGAAAGGAAGAGTTTAGATTTCAGAAATCAAATCAGTCATGAAAACATGATTGGTTGTTGTGTCAAAATCAAATTTCTGTTTGAGGCTGATGTGAATGTAACGTCAGGTGGGGAAGAAAAAAAAACGAAAATATTATAACCAAAGAAGCACAACAGATAACTGAAACTATGAATAAAATAGTGTTGATAACAATAGAGTCAATGAACTTAATGTTACCGCACTACACACGGAGAAAATCGTCTTAACTTTTACTCAAGAGTCCATTGATTAAGTTGTCAACGTCTCGCCTGGGGGGTCGATGATCAACACGTCACGTTAAAGGATTAAGTATGCTTGAAAACATGTCACACCTGCCGATCATCGTTCAACCACCAATGGAATTGTCACCTGATGAGTGAAAGGTATACCACGCGAATATAATTTTAAAAGAACAAACTAGACTACCTGGCAAACTAAATTATCTTGTCCTACAATCACTCGCGTGTAACGTTTATAACAAAGGTGTTACTTTATTTAAAACATTAAAACCTACAACATTCACAATACCTTACTAATAAATCTAATGTGTTTTGTTGTACAAGAATTTGACAGCGTTCTAAACTTGAGATGAGCACCAAATTGTCGAAATGCCCAATGCTTCGGCATTTTAATCACAAAATTAACATTTTCACAAGACCATGTTCTTAAACTAGAGACCAACCGAATTTCGGCTTCAGCTTTCGTTTCGTCGCCGAAAGTTGCCATTTGATAACTTTTCGGCCTAGTCTCGGTTTCGACTGAAACTGAAAAGTTAACTTTCGGCTTCATTTCGGTTTCGGTCGAAACAGAAGAGGTAACTTTCGGTTTAATTTCGGTTTTGACCGAAGGGATTGAGACTTTCGGCCATCTGTCCGAAAGTGACTGGAGTTTTCGGTCATCTACCAGAAGTCAGACTGGCTGTCTGTCTCTAAATCGACAATCCAATATTCATTATTGCTCGACGTCTTGCTGTCATTATATGTTATATGATTAAAACTCATAGAAAACTGCCCACAGCTGCATGATGACCTACTGGTTCTATATTTCCAGAAAATTACATTTCAATTAGGCCTAAGCTAATGTTAACAGTTTTGTGGAGGAAAAACTAATGATATCGTAATATATATCCTTATTTTTGTTTTATTTTTTTTTTCAAAAATAAAATTTGGAACCATAGGTTTATGCAATTACTTCATTTGTGATATTCACTTTGATTGATCATTATTATTAGGCTCATTATGGTTGTCATAGGCGAAGGTGAATAATATTGCATAATGCTAAGTAAAAATAATATTTCCATTATAATTTTTTGTTTAAATTTTAAAAAATTTTAGGAAAATATGGCTTTTTCAATTCATTCATTTCTTGAAATTCGTCACAATGACGCTCACAAACATTGTGATTGACGAAATACCACGAGTGTGCCTGTATCCCGGGTTCGTAATCTAATTATGTAGTAGGCCTACTGCATGCACACCTGTTTACTTTTATGATTCTGACGACCAATTTAGGTGTCTTTTGCGATTCTCACTCATGACCCATTTTAACAACAATTTTTGAGAGATCCGGTTAAAAAAATAGTTTTTGTTACCAAGGGGCAGAGGGAGGTTGGCTGCCGAACGAAATAATGACGACACCAGCAC